TGTGAGATTCCAGATCCCCGAGAACAGCCAAGTGGGCACAATGTTGGGTTTTGTCAATGAGAACAGGCACTGGACTGGTGTCAGTTACCAGTTTGGGGCACCCTCACAGCTCTTCCAGGTCGACCAGGTGACGAGTGAGCTGGTGTCAATCGCGGAGCTCGACGCGGAGAAGTTATGTGCCCTAGCCAGCCGCAAGGAACCCGACTCCTCCCAAAACGCATGTAAGTCGCTAGATTTGACTTTGCCCCTTCCACTTTTTGTGAACCATAGGAGGAACCGGCTTCCGTGTTGCGTTCCTTCTTTTCGTTACTGCTTCTTTCCTTCCATAAATGAAAAGTATGTGTAGACTTCCGTTTTGCAAAGTTGACTACTAGCTGTAGGTATGCAAGAGTAATTATTTGTATTCTGATACCAGAATGCAGGCTTTTTCTGTGAAAAATCGATGAAACGAGACTCGAAAGAGAGTGCTCCGGTGAACAAGACAACGTTTCATAAATTGCGTCTCACTAGTGGCCAGGTTGTTTCATAAGGAACAACGCTCGGTGACGGACACGGTTGCAAATAATATGATGAGGATTTCAACGGTATTTCCGGTGGGAGGCTGCACCCAATATGATATAGTATCACTCAGTTTCTTGATTTTCCGTAAACTATACGACCATTACACTACTAATCGTTATTTGCTAATAACTTATAACCATACTACCCTTAAAGCTGTCCAATTACAGTTCAATTTTGGATTTCCTTTCGCTACCTAAAGATACTTTTTAATAGGCCTAAACTTCTGGGTACATGCTGCGGTTGTTTTCGGTACGTTCCACATCCCCCTCATGTGCGATCCAGCAATTATCCAACTCACCCGCTCAGATTACTTTGTCTATTAGGCTCATCGGCGATTTACTAGGAAGCTGGAATTGCGTATTGGACACTAGCGAGACTTTTGTGTATTTGAATCGCATTATGATAGTTCGACCATCGATTTCGATTATATCCACCATATGCCCAAGAGCAGGGATGGTGACTGGAGACAGAGATTTAAGTGAAATAGACACGCAACTGTCTACTTACTTCAAAAAACCTTAGCCGTTTGAACCGCTGATAAGACAAAGTCAAGATGACCGAACAGGCTCGAGCGTAGGCCGCTTTCTCCAATGCAAGTCAGAACACCGCATAAATTAGTCTTAAGTGACATTAGCCTTTGCACGGGTACTACCGCACTATCGCCCTCACTCACCTTCAGTAGGCGTGAAGAGATACCCACGGAAACCAAAGCTGGTACCGCTACTACTGCTACTGCTATTTCCACTACTACTAACTAGGAGTGTAGCGAATTCTTAGTAATAAAGGCACCATTCCTGATGTTAGTATTTGTCAGAGATGTCGCTGATTAAAGGCAACACAGGGGCTCATATCACCTCGATCCCAACAAGGAGGGTGAATCCAGGTTTATGCTATTCCGAGTAACTGCATGTTTGAGGCCCGGAGCACATCAGGACTTGCCTTGGTTTCTGCCCTCTCACCTCCGACCACCAAAAGCTGTGTCACATTTTATGAGTTTTTTGCTAGAATACTGCTGCCAGATGTAATATGCCACTACCAAGAGTGCTAATTCTAGTAATTGGACTTGCTAAGACCAGGGGGGTAGTATATTCTAGAAATATACTCCTATACTTGTAACAATAGCTGACATGCATCCTATTTTTGCAACAAACATAACAAATTTGAATCGCATATTGTATCAATGAACACTGCTCCGCTATTCCAAGTGGTCTTGTTCCGAGCATAGTGTCGAAGCAGGCTTGTAGCATTCAGGCAACGATATCAGTTAATTCCAGAGAAATCCACACACAATTGGATATGAATGTTCAGAGGCAAGACTACCCGTTAGGATGTACCTGCAAGGTTGAACCTGCTGAAGCACTAAGGAGCGCTGGAAGACCATTCAGACAACTTCGACAGGGTAACTCACTTTGCGCACCTGAACAGATTTGTACTGTTGCTGACGTTTAGGAGAGCTTAGGCAGTTCTGCATTTTCAAGGCGTTTAATGCCGAAATCGATCAGAATTCTAAATAACCGGCCGAGCAACTCGGTCATGGACTGATCGATAATTTTTCTGTCTCGGCCTTTTGACGGATGTTCGAGGGGTCCTCATGACTACTGGTCTTACGCATAGTTACCTCAAT